TTACTAAAAAAGAAAAGAGTCCAAGAAGAAGATAGTTGCCAAGAAAACAACATGAGTGCCAGTAACTGGATTTAACCCAGAAGAGAACTTTACTTTTTAAAATTCTCTATGAATCAGGTGGAATAAGTTTAAAGCCTTTGACATAGCTTGACTATATCACATATTTACAATATATTAGAAATTCTGTCATCTGATTTAACAAAAACAGAGTAAATAAGCAACTGAGACAGTTGGCATGTTTTAACAAATGGCTCCTTTAATCAATAATACTTTTCAGATTTACAATCTGTATTTTAATCATTTGCCATAAAAGTTGGTATGTGTCTGACTTCCATTAACAAGCAACTAAATAAATATAGAAGTCTGAAAACTGCAGACTGAACTTCATCTGCTAAGTTCTCTTGGAAACTAAAATATTGAGACAAGAAAATGTAATGTTATCATGTCTGACCTTTATAATAAAAGTCATATACTATAGGAAGGTCCTTATAGCTGATTTACAATGTATATGCTAACTGGTGATACTTCAAATTAGTTTCATATATGGATAGAAAATGATTGTGGGATGGAAGTATGTCCCATATCCATAACTTTCTACTATGTTCACTGAACTTCAGGGGTAGGTGGGTGGAAATCAGCACTTTTACTTTTTATGGCCTGTATATATTGAATTACTTATAAATTTAGACTTTACTTTAATTCATAATAATAGAGTAAGGACTATATTCTCTTTCTGTAATCATATTATTAATTTATATTAGTGAGGCACACTGAGAAAGAAGTTTCTTAAATGTTTCTTCTGAATCAAACTAACAGAAAATATGAAATAATCTGAAACAATGTATATTGTTATATATCCTTCCTTGTACATGAAATGAAACAAGAAATACTACATACGGGTCTTCCGAGCAGAATCCTCTACAAAAAGAGAAGAGATGTCTTCATCAACTCCTGCTTCATTCTTTGCAATACAAGTATATGCTCCTGTATCTTCATAACGTACATTGCTAATATGGACTTCGCTGCCATTTGCTGTACACAGAATTAAAAATATGAATATATATGAGCTATAATTTTAGTAATGTTATTGTGGTTCCAGTATTAAATATATGGCTTTTTACATAATCCAACCCATTTAAAATGTTTGCCCTTTCTTATACAGGTAATTCTCACTTAACAACTGCAATTGAGACTGGCAACATGTCACTAAGCAACACGGTAAGAAAATGAAATGTCACAAGACCATGATCGAATTACAACATCAGTTCATCAGTTCCAGCTGCAGTCATTAAGTGAACTACCGTGGATTATTATGTGTGAAGTCACATGACCACAACTTGCGACTTCCTGCCAGCTTCTCCATTGACTTTGCTTGTTGGAAGCTGGCTGTGAAGGTTGTAAATGGTGATCACATGACCATGGGACTCTGCGACCATTGTAAATGCATGCCAGTTGCCAAGCACCTGAATTGCAATCATGTGATTGTGGGGACACTGCAACAGCCACAACTTAAAGGATCAGTCATAAGTCTCCTTTTTCAGCAGCATTGTAACTCTGAATGGTTGCTGAATGAGTGGTGTATTTTGTTTGGAGGAATATAGAATTTGGCTACAATATGTGGTTTGTTAGTGAAAATACCCTTCCTCTTACTATTAGGATTTGGGAATAAAAATAAATACTGTACTAAATAAGTGCCAATATGCACATTTCAACATAATTTAATATAAGTATCAACCAAATAAGGAAAGCTATGGCAAGCCTAGATAGCATATTAAAAAGCAGAGACGTCACCTTGCCGACAAAGATCCGCATAGTCAAAGCTATGGTTTTTCCAGTAGTAATGTATGGCT